AAAACAATGCTGTCCTTATTTACTGAAAGCTAGAGAAATTAAAGAAAAGGCACAGGAGACTAAGATTGTTAATAAGAGCCTCCAACTGCTTCACTGGCTACACCACCATGAACATGTCACTGTTCTACAAGGTGCTCCTGTCACTTTATCAAAGGTTGCCAATAAAGTCCACTCAGGTATTTGATTAAAGGCTCCTAACCAGTTTTCAAAGGCTAGCTCTGCAGATGGAGCTCAATGGCAGGGCTCTAATCCAGCACGCAGAAGACCCTGGATGACCCTGGATTCAATCTCGGCACTGCAAAACCAAACCAAACAAACAAAGGGTCTAAATTACACCATTCCTCTTTAAATTAAAAACATGGGGCTGGAGGGATGGCTCAGTGGTTAAGAGCACTGGATGCTCTTGTGGAGGACCTGGGTTCAGTTCCCAGCACCAACATGGCAGCTAACAACTGTCCATAACTCCAGTTCCAGAGGATCTGATGCCCTCTTCTGGCCTCCCCAGGCACTGATGCACATGGTGCACTTACATGCAGGCAAAAGATTCATACACATAAAATAAAAGTGAATGAATAAATGAATTCTTAACTTAAAAATTTAAGGGGGCTGGAGAGATGGCTCAGTGGTTAAGAACACTGGTTGCTCTTGCAGAGGACCAAGGTTTGGTTCCTAGCACCCACATGGCAGCTAACAACCATTCGTAACTCCAGTTCCAGAGGATCCAACACCTTCTTCTAACCTTCACAGGCATTGTATGAGACAGGTGCACTTCCATACATGCAGGCAATAGAGCCGTACATATAAAATAGTAATAAAATATTAAATGATTTAAACAAAAAAAAATGTGTTAAAGCATCCAGTGAGTAAAGCTACAGCTTGTGTTGTCAGGATTCTGTTGACAAAGGTGGGAGTCTGAGCAATCGTTTTCCTGGCCAACAGGACAAAAAATAGACTCATATCTTAGTGACAGGGCAGTGACATCAGCAGCCACATGATTAGCACTTGCTGCATGCCTGGCCAGGCACCTGCTAACTGGTTTACATGCCTGCATTTGTTCAATCTTCACCACAACCCTATGGAATGATTGGTTCTACAGGGCCTACTTTGTGCTAGGAAGCTGAGTCCTCTGGTGATATCTAACACACCTCTATCAATGTTAAGGTGCTGCATGTGTAAGAATGCAGGCATGCCGCAGCATATGTGTGGAGGTCAGAGAACAACCTCAGGTGTCAGTCCTCACTTTCCACCTTTGAGGCAGAGTCTCCATCCTTCACCACTGCACAAACCAGATGAGCTAGCCTGCGAGCTTCAGTGGATTCTGTCTCCACCTCACATCCTGCCTAAGAACTTCTGGGATTACAGCTTTTACATACATGGGTTTAGGGACTCAGATTCTCTACACTTGCTCAGCAAGGACTTTACTGACTAAGCCACCTCTCCAGTCCTGTTAAGCTATTTTTACTATTATCTAAATACTGTCACCACCCTATCAATCTATATTCTCCAAAATAAAACAGGACCTCTTGGCTTCTTGACTTTGATTTCCATGAAAAGTGTTTGGTCAATGGTTCTGAGACACTAAACAATGTCTTCTCATTGGCTGATGGATACTGGAGGTGTATTTCCTAATGGCCATAATTTTCAGGAAAGAGATCTTATGTGTCAATTCACTCAAAGTGAGATGGGCCCTCCCCCTTGTTGAACTCATTCTAAAATGGCCCTCCCAGAACTCTGACATTTTTCCAATACACTTCCCACAATGGGCAGCTCCAACAAATCCGTCAGGCTCTATAGTGAGCCGTGTTCATCCCAGAGCACACAAAGCTAAAGGCAAACAATGCATAAAACCACATGAACCTGCAAAATAAAAAGATTTGGCTTCAAAGCCATTTGGCAGTTGTGGCAGGTGCTTGAGACTACACACTCCTGGTCCTGTCCTAAGTGTCTTTTCTCATCAATAGAGGGCTTTGATGGGAACATTAAAGAGCACAGCTATTTTTTAATGAATGCTGACCCACTGCTGAACCCACTGTCAGTGATACATGAGCAACAGAACCCCAGCGTGGAGCAGGATCACACACCTCTTTTTTAAAGATTCTTTTTTTTAATATTTTATATATTATTTTTATTTTTTATGTGTATGGGTGTTATGCCTGCATGTAGGTAAGTGCACCCGTGTTGTGAAATGCCCACAGGGGACAGAGAGGCTGTCGGATCCCCTGGAACTGGAGTTACAGGCAGTTGTTTGCTGCCATGTGAGTGCTGGGATTCAAACCCGGGTCTTCTACAAGAACAGTCAGTGTTCTTAACCGCTGAGCCTCGCACACCTCTTTAACAAACATACCATCCCAGTAAAAACAGAAAGTTGCCAACTAAAATGTTAAGAATAATCCCATTTTTCTTTTACAATATCCTTATAATTCATGTATATTTAGAAAAAAAAATCCTTAAGTACTACAGTTGTTAATGCTGTTTCTCTCTGAAAAAAAATGAGATTTCTATGTTGACTGCAACCTTTTCAAGTCATTTTGAAATTAAAACAATAGGGAGCTGGAGAGATAGTCCCATGGCTGTGACCACTTGTACAATCATGAGGACCAAAGATCAGATCCTAGCCCCCACATAACAGGCTAAGCATCCAAGGTCCACTCATGACCCCAGCTCCAAGTGGGGATGGGGACAGGATTGCTAGGGCTTGCTGGCTTCCAGCCTAGCTGGAAAACACAATGCCAAGGTTTAGAGAGACCCTCTAAGGGACAGATGGAAAGTAAAAGAAGAGGCTATCACACCCAAACCTGTCTTCCGGCCTCCACATATGTGCACAAAAGTGTACACCTGTGCATACATGTATGAATACTTACACACAGAGACACACAGACAAATAAGTCTTTAAAAATAATAGTAATGAACATGTATAAAGGGGGAAGGGAAGGGGAGAGACAGGGAGAGAGGCAAGAGATTAATCCTGCCTAAATCAGATAGCTGCTTCAGGGGCAGCAGGGAGAGTTGGCAGAGGCCTGGGAAATATTCTGAACTTCTCCCAGAAATGAACAGAAGCTGTAAGGAACACGACCCCTGAACCTTCCCACTGGGATGCCCAGCACAGTCCTGTGTTCCGTGGGAAATTCCACGTGAGTAGGATCAAGGCAGTGTGGCTTATCTCAGCATTTTACGATGCTAATTACCATGGCTTCCTGGACAAATATACAACTCTCAGGGCTTTCCTAGGATAAGCAGTACCTGAGAAGCAGGTAGGGCACTTTTTGTCCATGGGTTCCCTCCCTTGAGTTCTGAGCAATGAGGAGAGCTGCAGCTTACCACACCTTGAACACCACTGCTTTCACACCAGCCATCCCTGGAAGCAACGGTCCATTATGGTGGGGGGGAGGGGGGCATATACAACATGCTCCATTCTTCCATCACTGAGCACCCATGACTTGTAAAATTACCTTTTAAGGGCTACAAAGTTAGCAAGATGACAAAGAAGCTGCCGCACCCCCAGGAG